AGGAGTGCATCAGTAAGATTCTTTGATAGATGGGAGGTGTGAGACCTAGAATCCTATCCTTTATCCCCAGTCTTAAAAACAATATCAACTAAAGTTCTGAATTACTGAGGTAGGTGTTAATTTAATGTGGAAACACTGAAATACTAGAGGGAAGATATACAGATAGTTTGAGAGGTCTTTAAAAAATGCTCAGGAAAGGCTGCAGAGACAGTATCGTGGGTAATCTCTGGCACCCCATATGGTACCCTGCGCTCTCCAGGAGGGATTCCTGAGTGCAGAGGTCAGGAGCAAGTCCTGAACACTGCTGGGTGTGGCCCCAAAACAAAAACAGATCAAAATACATGCTCTGTATTGAAAGACTGCAGACACTTCCTTTCAAGTAGTGAACCCTGATTCCCTTCTGCTCTCAATGTGTCTTAAAAGATTTTTCCTGGTAACCAGATTTTCTTCATCACTGATAAGACCATCAGAACTTTTGATCAGCACAGTTGATTAGATTTAAGGTCATTTGTAGTTTAAAAGACAGTCCAGGGCATCACGTGCAGCTCCTCTTTTGCTGAGATATATGTCCCTTTTGGGGGGCAGGTAGGGTGGAAAGAGGATAATTGGATTTTGGGGCAATCCTGGGGTGCCTGGGAATTAGCCCGTACTAATTCTGTGTTCAGAAGTGACTCCTCCTAGGTTTGATTCCCAGCATCCCATGTGGTCCCAAGCACTGCCAGGAGTAATTCCTGAGTGCAGAGTAAGGAGTAACCCCTGTGTATCGCCAGGTGTGACCCAAAAACAAAACAAAAAAAAGAAATGCCTCCTGATGGTGCTGGGGATCAAACTGGGGTCTGCCATATGCAAGGTGATTCCTTATCCCTGGTACTTTCTGTCCAGCTCTTTGTGTTTTTTAAAACGTACTATAATATTTGGTTTACGCTGCTATTGATAATAGTGCTTTCTCATGTACATAATTCCAGTACCACATACAACAGTGTACAGTGCACCTGTCTCTCCTCCTCCAGGGTATCCCCCGCCCCCAACTCAATTGTGTGGGTCATACAAAATTACTTTTTGACTTTTGGGGGGTTTGGGGCATACCGGGCAGTACTCAGGGCCTACTCTTGTCTTTGTGTCAGGGGTCCGAATGTAGTGTCAGGAATTAAACCGGAATCTGTTACATGCAGAACAGGTGTCTTAACCCCTCTACTCTCTCTACAGTCCATTAAAATTACTTTTGAGTTCTAAATAAGAGGTTGTTTGTAGGGTATAAATGACAAAGGACGTTAACATAATTAACATAGGAGATAATTATGACATGCAGTTAACAGAAAGTTATACAAGTTACAGAACAATAAAGGTGTTCCCATGTAGAAAAATAAGACTAGAGAAAAAGGAATAGATGAATAGATGTCAACAGTGATCTCTGTTGAGGTGCTGAGGTTTTTATTAGTTTATACTGTTTTCTTTTGTACTGGTCTGTTCTAGAAACACTTGACAGTTGACATACATTGCCCCTGTTTTTGACCTTACCCAGAAGTGCTGCGTAGCTGCCCCCAGCAAAGTGCCTAGGGCCTGCTACCAGGGGTGCTCCAGGTACCAGGCCTTGCCTGGGATTGAGCCAGGACTCCCACTTGCAAAGCTCAACCCTTTGAGCGGTCTCCTTCACCTTTTCTTTTGTGATTATAAGTGAAGGAGGGCTGTATTAGAATGGACTCATTCCTGTATCTAGATCTCTGAGATAATTGAGCTGCAATTTCATGTAACAAGTCTGGAGGTTTAGTGCTACTCTTCTCCTTTCTCCACTCCAGTGACACTTTTTATCTTTAAACGTTTAATCTGGGATTTATTATAAAATGAGATGATGCATACTTCATGATGCCTTTAAAAGAAGAAATTTGTCTCATGAAGCCGAAGATAAGTGGGTGAAAAACATAACCCAATACCAGACTATTACTTGCACCAGACTTCTCTCATGCAAGGTGTCTTAATCCTTGATTTTTCCTTCACACTTGACTGATTTCATCAGTATTTTACACAGAATTCGGTAGCAAATAATCTCTTCTTGGGGTTTGTTGTTGTTGCTTATTTTATTTTTGGGGCCATACCCAGTGGTGTTCAGGGGTTATTCCTGGCTCTGTGCTGAGGAATTGCTCTTGGTGGTGCTCAGCGACCACGAGATGCTGGAGATCAAACCTAGGTTGGCCCTGTGCAAGGCAAGGTCCCTACCTGCTGTACTGCCTCTCTGGCCCAACATTTCTTGAAATAAAAAATCTGTGGGTCAGCTTTTGCTTTTTTGGGTCACACCCGGCGATGCACAGTAGCACTCCTGGTTCATGCATTCAGAAATCACTCCTGGTGGTGCTCGGGGGACCATATGGGATGCTGGGAATCGACCCACTGTGCTATTGCTCCAGCCCCGAAAGAGATCATTCTTTATGTGCGTCTTTTGTTCTGACTTCACTCAGTATGACATCCTCAAGTTCCATCCATGTTGAAGCAAACTGCATGACTGTTCTTTTTCAGAGCTGCATAGTACTTGTGTGTGTGTGTGTGTGTGTGTGTGTGTGTGTGTGTGTGTGTGTGTGTGAGAGAGAGAGAGAGAGAGAGTTCTTGATTCCACTCATTCATTAACTGGACATTTGTGTTGTTTCCATATTTTGGCTATTTTTGTTTTGTTTTGGGGGCACACTGGTATTGCTCAAGCATTACTCCAGGCTCTGCACACAGGAATCACTGTCAATGGTGCTCAGGGACCACACGGGATGCCGGGGATTGAAATCAGGTCAGTCGTATTCAAGGCAACTGCCCTTCCCGCTCTACTATCTCTCCGACCCCAACTATTGTATTAAGTACAGTGATGAACAGAGGGTTTCAGACATCCTTTTGAATGAATGTTTTTATGTTTTGGGAATAGCCAATTGCTGTATCCTATGAGAATTCTATTCCTATTTCTGTAGTGTTTTTTTTTTAGAGAAATTAAAATTGAAAGAGACATTAAAGAAAATTTAAATCAAATTAAAAAGAAATTCTTAAATTTCTGTAACGTTTTCCATAGCGGGATGACATTCCCACCAACAGTGGATGAGGATTCCTTTCTCACTACAAACCTAGCATACTATTTCTCACAGGCCTGAAATGGTATCTCATTTTTTGTTTGCATTTCCCTAATTGAGTGATGATGAGTACTTACTTGTTCATGTGCCTGTTGGCCATCTGTACGTTTTCGTCTGTTTATCTTCTCCATTTACGGAATTTTTTTGTTGGTGAATTTAGTACCTTAAGACTTTGGATATCAATCCTTTACCAGTAGTACTGTTTGCAGATATTTTGTCCCATTCAGTAGGGTGTCATTTTATTAGAACTTTGAGTTTTTTTTCCACTGTGCTATGCTTTTTTATTTTTTTTTGCTTTTTGGGTCACACCTGGCAATGCACAGGGCTTATTCCTGGCTCTGCGCTCAGGAATTGAACCCGGGCCGCCCGCGTGCAAGGCAAACGCCCTACCTGCTGTGCTATTGCTCCAGTCCCTGTGCTATGCTTTTTAATTTGAGATAATCCCATTTGTTTTTTTGTTGTCTTTGCTACTGTGGTCATCTCTGAAGATTCTTTTGAGGTCCATTTCCTGGAGCATTCTGCTTAGGTTGGTTTTATGGATTCTATTCTGATCCTGAATCTTTAATTCACTTTCACTTTTGTGCAAGGTGTGAGGTATAGTTCTGATTTTCCCAACATTTGTTAGATTTTCTTTGCTTCACTTTAACATATTTAGCTTGTCATAGATTAGCTAACTCTAGATCGGGGGGCTTCGTTCAGGACTCTCCATTCTGCTCCATTGGTCTGTAGGTCTGGCTTTGTTCTAGTACCGTGCAGTTTTCATTGTTTACAGCTTTGTACAAAGGACTGCAATACCTCCCGTTTTCTTTTGTTTTCTTGGGATTTCTTTGGCTATTTGGGGAGTTTTATGGTTCCATACAAATTTTATTAGTTTGTTCCATGTCTCTGAAAAAAGTCACTGAGTTTTCCAACTCCTTGTTTTTTTAAACAGACCTTCAAAGCTGAGGGCTCCTAGTGGTGCTGGGGTCCCAGATAATCAGTGTAAGGGAATCCATCTCTGGGCCTCCCACATGCCCGGCATATACTCCCTACCACTTTCTTAAGCTACCTCTCTGGCCTCTGTCCGTATCAGTATTTCTATTTTGTTGAGACAGAGAAGAAACGACCTATAACATGCACAATTCTATCATAAAATAGATGCCTCCAAATGAATACTGAACATTGAACACCGCGCCTGGCCCTTTGTGGAGCTTCAGAAAAGTCTTGGACCTGCATTCTGGGTACTTCCCTAGCGTTTCTGTGGGAGGCTGGGCCGAAGAAGCTGCAGCCAGACACTGTAGTGCTCGGTGCACTCCCTGGGGCCAAGAGAAAACTGCTCAGGAGTCTGATTCTCGGAAGAGGCAAACGGAATCAGACCCGGATCCATCACCATGACCACATCCAGTGACTCCCTTAGTGTCGATGCGTTCTAGCTTGTGTGCGCGGAGTTCTGGAAAGGAGGTGCCGTGGGTACAAGGGCCAGGTGGCCAACGTGGTTCTTTTCAGCGCTGAGGACGTGCAGCGGGGGGCCTGCGCTCCTGCCCAGCACCACGGAACCGCCCCGCGCGCTGCCAGGTCCGGCCACCAAACAAGCGAGGGGGGAGACGGCACCTGGAGGTGACCCCACCGGAAGCAGAAAGTGCCGGACACAAGGGGAGCCCCACGCGGTCGGCTGCTCCGCTCTCCAGGAAGAGCCCGAGGCCACGGGCACCGGACCGCTTCGGGCTCTGCTCCCACTGCGGCGGGTCGGGCGCTTCTTGGCCAGGCCCAGCGGGGGTCCCGGAAGTCACTGACTCCCCCGACGCTGGCCCGGCGCCGCCCGACTCTTGGGGGACGGGCCGGAGCGCGGCGGGGCGGGGCGGGGCGGGGCGCGGGCGAGCGCGGCGGGCGGCGCGGGTCTCGCGAGGCTTGGCGCGCGGGGGCGAGAGCGGGATGCGCCCGGAGAAGGCAGGCCCCGGGGGCGCCGGGGCGGCGGCGGCGCGGGGCGCGGGCGGCAGGGAGAAGCCGTCGTCCGTCGAGGTGCAGTTCCGCTGGGAGTCGCCCCCACGGCAGGCCGAGGGGCCTCGGGCCTCGTCCTCCGGCGGCGGGGGCGGCGCGGGCGACCCTCGCGAGGAAAAGAGGCCGGTCCTGAGCAAGGTGGGGGCGGGCCCCTGCCGGAGGGCGGGGCAGACGGTGACGCGGCGGCCCTCGCCGGAGGGGCACTGGCGGCGGGGCGGAGCCGAGGGGCGGGGTCTGGCGCAGGGGGCGGGGAGATGGGCGGGGCCTGAGCGCAACTATCGGGAGGGGGCGGAGTTAGGGGCGGGGCTCTGCCGAGGGGCGGGGCGGGCGGTGACCGGGCAGCCCTCGCCGGAAGGGGGACCGGTGGCGGGGAGGTGGCGGGGCCCGGCGCAGGGGCGGAGCCAGGGGCGGGAGCGGGGCTGAGTGGAGGGCTCGGAGGCGCGGGGCCTGAGGGGCGGAGTTGGAGGCGGGGCGTTGCTGAGGGGCGGTGTTAATAGCGGGGTTGGAGGCGGGGCGGTGCCTAGGGGTGGGGTTCTGTGGAGGTTGCGGAGGCGGGGCGGGGTGAGTGGAGGGGCGGGGGCGAGGCTGATGGGAGGGTGCGGAGGCCTGAGGGGCGGGGCGGGGCGCACCTGTGGGGAGGGGCGGGGCGAGGGGGCGGGGCTCTGCCGAGGGGCGGGGCGGGCGGTGACCGGGCAGTCCTCGCCGGAAGGGGGACTAGTGGCGGGGCGGGGCCAGGGGCTGGCCGTGGGCGCAGCTATAGGGAGGGGCGGGGCCTGGGGGCGGGGTTAGAGGCGGGGCGTTGCTGGAGGGCGGGGCGAGTCGAGGGCGGGGCGAGGCTGATTGGAGGGCGCGGAGGCCTGGGGGCGGGGCGGGGCGGGGCCGGGGCGGGTGGCGCCGTCCCGCGCGTCGCTGGCTCCGGGGCTGGAGGCGGCGCAGTCCCGAGCCCGCGGGGGTCCCGCGGGGCCCCCGTCGGGGGCGGGGAGGGCCGGGTGCCCGCTCCCCGGCCCGTGCAGCCGAGCCGCCGTGCCCGTGCCCGCAGGTGGTGATCCGGCGCCTCCCGCCGGGCCTCACCAAGGAGCAGCTGGAGGAGCAGCTGCGCCCGCTGCCCGCGCACGACTACTTCGAGTTCCGCGCCGCCGACCTCAGGTGCGAGCCCGCGGGGTCTGGCGCCCGCCAGCCGCCCCTCCCGGTGCGCGTGCTCCCTGCGGGCGCCGGCGGGGGTCCTGGGTGGGCCGCGCGCGGCGTCGGTGGGGGAGGAGCGGCGCCCCCGCCCGGCCGGCTCCGCCGCTCCCCTGGCGCGCGTGACGGGTCCGCCCCTGCGTTCCTGCCGTCCGGGGCGGCGGGCGACCCTCGTCCTCCGGAAACGCCGAGCGAGCCACGTCGGTTGGGGAAAGTGTCCGGGACGCGGTGGTGTCGCGGGCGACAGGTCCGAGTCGGGAGAGCGAAGAGACGGAGCAAAGAGGATTTCCTGGCGACTGAAGGTCGAGGAGAGCGACCCGGGGGGACTCGGGGGACCCGCCTCGGCCCGCGCCCCCTGTGCGGCCGGGGCCGGGCCGGACGCCGAGACTGCGCCGGAGACGCCCTCGGGAGCGCCTCCTTCCTCGAACTGGCCCTGCATCGCCGAGTTTCTTCAGACACTTTCGTGTTTGTGGTTCTTGTTTGGGGCTTTGGCGCCACGCCCAGCCGCGCTCCCCAGGGTTTTTATCTGAGGGTGCGGGGGAGCCCTGTGGGTGCCAGGGGCCCGGCGGGGTCCGCTGCTGCAGGGCAAGCCCCGGGCGCCTTTCCTCCTGGCCCCGACTTTGCAGAGCAGAGGAAGGAACCTGGGAGCTCCCCGTGTCGCCAGAAGACCGGCAGGGTTTTGCCCTCGCCCTCCCTCCCTCCCTCCCTCCCACACCCCCAAAGACTAACCAGATCCTTGTCATTAGCCGATAGATGATCACATAGCATTAAAAACTTTGTCTGAAATAGTTTGTTGTCTCCAGAAACTCTTTAGAGAAGAGAAGCAACATCAAAGGGGGCTTGATCCGTCCTTAACGTTTTTCACGGTTTTTGTTTCAGTCTTCATCCTCATCTCTACTCAAGGGCATACATTAATTTCAGAAATCCCGATGACATCCTTCTTTTTAGAGATCGTTTTGATGGATATATCTTCATTGACAGTAAAGGTTGGCTCACTGATTTTTTTAAACTAGTATAATCCCTAATGACGTTTTTGAAATTCTGCTGGAGTGTTTCTGAGTTTTAACTAAGAATTCCTCAGATACTAGTCTAAAATAAGTTCACACAGTTTTATTACGTTACTGTGATTGCATGCCTCTGTTAAAATTTAAAAGTATAAACCACAATATTCGACTTACTCTGCTTAATAGTGACAACCTATTACATATTATCAGAGAGTAAAAAAAAGTTCAAGTTTTGTGGACAAAAAAACCTTTTCTTATATCCCCAAGTTAAGTTTTGATGGAAATCTTACTACGGTAAAATGCATAACAGGTGTCTGTCTTAGTCCTTTGCAAGTGTGCAGTTTGATGATGTTAAGTACATTCCCCTTGTCCAGTGTCCAGAACTTTTCTTCTTCTTACAGAGCTGAAATACGGTATGATTTCCTTGAACCCTAGCAACCAGTGTTCTGCTTTTGATTTTCTATAAATGGGATGACCCTAGATACCTCATTCAAGTAATTTACACAGTGCTTATCTTTTTGTGACTACCTTATTTCACTGATCTTAATGCCCTCATGTTATAATTTATGTCAGAATTCCTTTCTCTTTTATTCTTTTTTGGGGTTTTGGCCATCCCTGGTGATATTCAGGGCTTAACTTCTTTTTTTTTGTTTGGTGTTATCTCAGAAATCATTGCCAAATTCGGTGTCATAAAACTTTTCCTATTTTTTCAAAAGATTTATACTTCTAGATTTCATGTTTAGGTCTTGAACTTATTTTGAGTTAATCTTTATTTAACTCTAATAAATGTGAGAAGTAAGAGTCCAGTTCAATTCTTTTTTTTTTTTTGCACGTGACATCCATTTTTTCAGCATCATTTGTTGAAGAGACTTTTACCCGTAGTACAGTCTTGGCACCCTTATCAAAAGCTATTGGGTTTCTGCCACGTTATTTTGAATACTGTAGCTTTGTAGCAAGTTTTGAAGTTGAGAGGTATGTCAGCTGCTATTAGTAGGTTTTGGGGCCATATCCAGTGGTGCTCAGGGAGTACTCCCTGCTTAGTGCTTTGGGGTCACTCCTGGTGGTGCATGGGAGGCCATCTAATGCCATCCAGGGTTCCAGCATTAAAGCATGTACTCCAGACCTTTGCCCTATTTTCCTGGCCTTTCATTGCCTTTTACTAAGTCTCTACCATGCACCAGGCACTGCGGATAAGACCTTGAGTCAGCCATTGTCCTTGTTTATTCAAGATCCTTAACTTTGTTCTGAATGTCAGGTTGGGGAGGTTGAAATACATGCCTTGTATATAGGACCCTGAGTTCAATCCCCAGCACTCCACTGTCTGCTTAGTGCCCTGAGTGCTGCCAGGAGTATCCCCAGAGTACTTACAGGTGTGGCCCCAAAATAAAAGAATGTCTTCCAGACATTGATTAATTAATTGATTAATGATTAATTGATTAATGTCTTTCAGACATATAGTTTCAGTCTTGAATTCCTTTGACCATTCCTGATAAGACTAAAAGTGTCTGTTGAGTGGGTTGAGTAACAAGGCAGAAGTCTCCCACTTACTGATTAAACATTCAGCAGATTCTCCCAGTGGCCATGTGTGTGCATATTTCTCCACACGTACAAAATCAATTTCTGGTGACTTTTTCAAAATTTTTCTCTTTGCAGAAAATCTTAATCTGAACTATTATACGCATCCATTGAAACTAATTCTTTTTTAGGGAAGACTGTCCTAAGTAAGCAGAATAGTTTCTCTGAACTTGTGTAACACAGTCATTGAATTAACCTTACCATAGGTAAAGGTAAGGTAAAGGCCCTCCCGTTGATCATCGACTTGCTCGAGCGGGCCCAGTAACGTCTCCATTGGAGACTTTGTTGTTACTGTGTTTGGCATATCGAATACGTCACGGGTAGCTTGCCAGGCTCTGCCGTGCGGGCGAGATCCTCTCAGTAGCTTGCCGGGCTCTCCGAGAGGGACGGAGGAATCGAACTCGACTCGGCCATGTTGGCTGCGTGCAAGGCAAACGCCCTACCGCTGTGCTATCGCTCCAGCCTTACCATATAAAAAGTTTTAAATGTGACTAAGAAACCTATTTAGTGGTATTCTGTAATAAACTCTAGTGGGTATAGATTAGGTTTATTGAGGCATAAGTTATGTATATACACCAATGTAACATTTACAGTTTGATGACTTTTTAGTTGTGTTCAGTCATCTAACTTACCACTACTTAATAAATAAATTTTATTCCAACTAAAGGTTCATAGTTTGTTTAAATATGGAGTGTTTGACTTATTAAGTTGCGTGAAAATGAATCACAGTTTTAATGATAATGTTATGGTTATAATGTTAGATATGTTAGATGATTATTTACTGAAGTGACTATTAGAATTTCAGAACGGTTTTTGGAGTTTGTTTTTGGTTTAAGGCCTAGAATATCCTGCAGTGGTAGAGTTTGCTCCATTCCAGAAGATAACTAAAAAGAAGCTAAAGAAAAAAGATGTCAAAACTGGAAGCATTGAAGATGGTGAGTACTCATTTAAATGCTAGGCTTTGAAATTGCCAAATTAAATACACTGACCAAATATTTCTCTCCCATATATGGAGAGGAGAAATTTTGTTTTTGTGTTTTAATTTACAGACCCAGAATATAAGAAATTTCTAGAAACTTACTGTATAGAAGAAGAGAAAACTAGTGCCAATCCTGAAACTCTTCTGGGAGACATAGAGGCAAAGACAAGAGAACTTATTGGTCTGTTTTACTCTTTCTTCAAAATCTTTATTGAAAAACCTATTTGTAGAATATCTGTTGCTTCTTTTAATAATTATTACTACAGCTGGTGTGTGATAGTCTTTGTAGAAATATAGAGTATTTTCCAGCTATAGGGTATCTTCCAAAAAGATGGCAAGATCAGGGGCCGGAGCGATAGCACAGCGGGTAGGGCGTTTGCCTTGCACGCGACTGACCTGGGTTCGATCCCCGGCATCCCATATGGTCCCCCAAGCACCGCCAGGAGTAATTCCTGAGTGCAGAGCCAGAAGTGACCCCTGAGCATTACTGGATGTGACCCAAAAAGCAAAAAAAAAAAAAAAGATGGCAAGATCAAAACTTGAAAAAATACTTCTGAGCATTATTGTTGGAAAGCACCTGTGTTTTCAGTAATTTTGCTTCCGAGTTTTGCTCCTGAATCAGAGAAGGTGGTTGAGTATTCTGTGCCTATAGGGAAGGAGATTATGCCATAAAATTGGAACCAGGTGGTGCTTGGGGGACCATATGGGATGCTGGGAATTGAACTTAGGTTGACTCTGTACAAGACAATCGGTCTACCCACTGTACTGTCTCTCTAGGCCCAGGATCAGAATTCTTTGCAAAGAGCAATTGTAGAAATAAGATGCTTTGCATAGCATAAGGTGGTTTTGCATCTGTTAAAACATGTCATTTCTGGGGCCAGAGTGATAGTACAGTGGATAGAGTGTTTGCCTTGTACCCTTGCCTTGCCTTGCATTCATTCCTGAGTAGAGACCCAAGAGTAAGCCTTGAATGCTGTCAGATATGGCCCCCCCCGGCCCCTCCGACCCCCCTACTCCCCAAAACCCACAATTAAACAAAAGATTTAAGACTCTGAATGGGGGCTGGAGCAATAGCACAGTGGGTAGGGCGTTTGCCTTGCACGTGGCCGACCTGGGTTCGATCCCCGGCATCCCATATGGTCCCCTAAGCTCCGCCAGGGGGAATTTCTGAGTGCAGAGCCAGGAGGAACCCCTGTGCATCGCCGGGTGTGACCCAAAAGAAAGGAAAAAAAAAACACTGAATGATTACCCTGTTTATAATTTACCTTCTTAGTTATCTCCCCACCCCCACCTCCGCCCCCATGGAGTTGTATTTTTAGCTTTGTGGTCCTAGCTTTGTGATTGTGATTTGACAAGTTTAGATACACAGTTAAAGATAGTTGAGCTATTAAATAAGAAAGATTACTAGTATTAAAAAGCCCATTAATATGTTCTCTTTTAATAGTGAAATTTTTATATTATACTACAGATCATTTAACATATGACTCAGGATTTTTGCTGATCGAAAAGAATACTAAGTTGTACTTCCGGTGCATTTGCCTGTTATTCAGTGCAAGTGCACCTAGGCGTGAGAATACATGGCGCCCATACTCTCAGGCAGTGGTCTTTCTCATGCAGGGGATGCAGTAGACAAAAGGAGAAATCAGGCTTCAAGCTGAGCCACCAGCTAATGAACGCTAAGACAGGTTCTCGAGCGATACCCTCACGCTAGTTGTGCTGAGAAATGGAGAAGAGATGGCCAGGCTGGTGTGTTGGACCTGTTTGGTTGGCACACATGGGCACCTGTTGTCATGCCGCTGGCCTTGGGTTTGATTCAGCTGGAAACAGTAAGTGCCGTGGTCAGCTTCATCTTCCATCACTCTGGTTGCTCCATGTGAGATGGTCTGTGGGTAAGGGACTACTTCTGTTCCAGAGACTTTTGCTGTGGTCCTGGGAAGACTTTGTACACCAAACTGGCAGGATTAGTTGTTTAATTTTCTTACAAGGTGCAAGGGCTGGAACTCAGGGCCTCACACATTCAAGGGCTTCTGCTGAGCTGCACCTCTGGTCTTCAGCATTTATCTTGTAGGTGGGCCTGACAAGAGTCCGGATTGACTGGATATAGGAAGAAAGGGGACAGAAACATTCTTCTCAGCCTCCAGGGACCTGACATAAGCAGGAGAGCAGGTGGTGGTAGTATTAGGGCCTGGGGATGACAGGGTGAGGTCAGTGAAAATCATGACAGAGCAGGTGGAATTTAAGGACAGAAGAAACAGATGGGAAATTATGACTTCCCTCTTTCTCCACCCATTTCTCGGCCTCCCTGTTTAACTGGGCAGGTACAGGAGGAAGCAGGTTTGTGTGTCCCTTGTTGATCAGTCAGATACTGTGCGCAAACTCCAGCCAAGTTCATCTTCTTCCCTCCCTCACACATGGCCCACTGTCTGATGCCCAGTCAGTGTTCTGTGATTTGTTTGTGAATGGACAGGTGAAATGACTTGGAGCCCATCATCACCAGACCAAACTGAAGAGGTTTTCTCTTTGACTCCTTTGGCCCTTTTAAGTTTGAATCTTCATCCAGTGGCTCATGGGATGGGCCTTCCTCTCATGGAGTTTGGCCCTTGTGTAGGTCTGTAATGATTCTTATCAGTGAGGGCTCTCTCTGCACTTGGAGCAGTGCCTTCAGGGATAGAGCACTGATGGGTGCTCCAGACACTTGGCAATAATGTGTCTCTGCTCAGATCTTCCTGAGGGTCAGTCCCCTTGTTTCCTCATTGGTAAGAGTTAGCTAAGTTACTATTGTGTTACTTGGCCCTGTAGTTTCTATTTAATGGCATGACTTGTAAAGAACCATCTTAGACATGCTTCCTTTACCTTTCACACGGGTCCTTTGGGGTAGCAAGGCAGGTGTTTCATAAGAGAGAAGGGAATCAAGATGGGAGTATTGGTGTCACAGATCCCCTGCCACCTCTAGGGAGGACTCACCCTGCCCCTTGCTGATGAGTGAGAACTTCCTCTGCAGAGCCCTCACTGGCCAGGTCACTTTCCCATTAGATAAGTCCAAGTTACACATCCCTGACCAAGAGCTCTCCTATAGTTGCTAATTAATTCCTGTCCCTTGGGATTCTGGAAATGCCATGTCAGTCTTCAGGGGCATCACGTATTCTTCCTCTCTCATGTAGCCAGAGGCCTTGAAGACCTACAAAAGAACCTAGACAGTCTCAGCTCTTCCCAGCTGCATTCTCACCTAATGCCTGCAGGTTGCCCATGTGGACTCAGCCCAGTTAGCTGGGACAGGCAGAGCGTGAAAGCTAAAAGAAGGACACATCCCGGGGAACCAGTGGTCCTAAGTCCACGGTGCTCCTCTGCTGTAGTCTGAGACCGATCATCTTGATTTATCTGTAATAGAGACATAAGATAGCACTGCGGTAGGGCGTTTGCCTTGCACGTGGCCAACCCGGCCAACCCGGGTTTGATTCCTCCGCCCCTCTTGGAAAGCCCGGCAAGCTACTGAGAGTATCTCGCCCACATGGCAAAAACTGGCAAGCTACCCGTTCGATACGTCAAACATAGTAACAAGTCTCACAATGGAGATGTTACTGGTGCCCACTCAAGCAAACTGATGAACAATGGGAGGACAGTGCTGCAGTAGACAGTGGACAGAGACATAAGAATCCACATTGCCTTACCCATTGTCTAGAGAGCAGGAATGGAAGAAATTTTCAGAATAAAGTAAATACATAAATGGTGCATGATGATTTGAAATCTCTGCAAAAATAGGGAGCAGCCATTCAGAACATGTAGGAAGTTATGTATTTCATTCATCTTGCATTTTGATTCTAACACCATTTTTGTAAATAATATAGAATGTGATTTTTTTTTAGCAGTTAGGGGCTAGAGATAGAGTTCAGAAGTTGCTTTGTCCCCTAGTGGCCCAGGTTCAGTCCCTGGCACTCATCACCAGGACCAGCCCTTAAGCACTGAGCTGGAGTAGATGCTGAACAACACTGGATATAGCCCCAAAATTTAAAAAAAAAAAGAATTAATACCTACTATGTGTAAAGTTGTCCTCAACTCCAAATTTACCTGACATGTTGATGGAATGAGAATTCTCCCAGAATCAGGAATATCCCTCAGAGGGTTAGTGCACATGCTTTGCATGCTGGAGACCCTGGGTTTAACCCTTGGCACTATATAGTTCTTGAGGAACACCCTGGGTATGCTTCTTCAATACTTTTTGAGGAGTGGCCCCAAAATTAAATAAAAACAACTTCCCTAAAAACTCAGTATAGGAGCATGTAAAATTAAAAATGTAAATGTTCTTCTAAATATTATGTTAAGCTGAAAACAACTATTTCAAATCTTATTTTATGGAATACTCTATTACTGAAATCCAATCATTAATAGATATGTAAGGGTCTATCTCACAGTGATTCAATAAAAAAGTTAAAAAATAAATTTTAATTTTTTTTTCTTTTTTGGGTCACACCCAACGATGCTCAGGGGTTATTCCTGGCTCTGCACTCAGGAATTCCTCCTGGCAGTGCTTGGGGGACCATATGGGATGCTGGGAATCAAACCCAGGTCGGCCGCGTGCAAGGCAAACGCCCTATACCTGTGCTATCGCTCCAGTCCCTAAAAAATTTTATTTTAAACTACAATTTTTATGTTTTAGCTCGAAGAACCACACCTCTTTTGGAATATATTAAAAATAGAAAATTAGAAAAGCAGGTAGGTCCACCTTTTACATGATGACTCTCCTTCCTGTTTGTGCCATTCTGGGCAGGCAGTTTATACACATTCTTTTCCACCTTTTCAGAGAATTCGAGAAGAGAAAAGAGAAGAGAGGAGGCGGCGGGAGTTGGAGAAGAAACGCTTACGTGAGGAAGAAAAAAAGAAGAGAAGAGAAGAAGAAAGATTTAAGAAGAAAGAGGCAGACAAACAGAAAAAACCTGCTGAGAAAGAAGTAAGGATTAAGGTAATTTTTGGGGAAAAGTTAGTTTTCCAAAACTAGTTTTGCTGTACTAATCTAATCTTTAGGTATTTTAGCTCTTAAAATATTTTCAGAGGGGGCTGGAGAGACCATGCAGCAGGTGGGGCACTTGTCTTGCACATGGTTGTCTTGGGTTCAGTCCCTGGCACCCCATACAATTCCCTCAGCTCACCAGTGATCCCTGAGTGAGTCAGGAGTGAGCCCTGAGCACTGCTGGGTGCATTCCAAAAACCAAAATATTTTTTAAAGAAGATTTCCAAGTAGTCCAGTTTATATTATTATAATTCCTTTTTTCTGTACTACCGATTATTCCCAAATTGTATTCCCCGGGCACTCCTGGGGCTTAACCTGTTTTGGAGACCAAGTATATAGGAGACAGGAGGAGGCTCGAAGCACTTCATTTCACCCCTTTGGCACCTACCCCCCACTCCACCACACACGCATGTACCTCACAGATTGAACCAGACTGCTCAGGCTTGAATTTCAGCTGATCAAGATTACAGGTACTTTCCACCTATCAGAACTCACTAGCTGAAAACTACACTTGCATCAAGTGGACCTGCATGGTGACCACTCGACTTTTTTACCTATATAAGCAGACTTCTGGGAAGCTGAAACATAGTCCCAGTGCCTCTTGGGTCTCTGTCTTTAGCGGCAAAGGACCAGGCTTGGCTTTTTCAATCCACAGGCTCAGTGAAACAGGTGGAGAGGTAACCCAAGTCACACATACAAATCCTGAATTGTGTGCTATAACCACACTGCTTACTAAAGGTACGTGGCCCTTTGTGCACGACTCTTGAAGAATAGATCTCTGTGAGAGCCAGGTCAGACACTCAGACTGAAGGCGAGGGCTGGATCGGACACCCCAGCGGGCAGCTGCTCTGCCCCCAGCTCCTTCTGTGCCCCTGACTCGTGTCAGCTCTGCATCCTCCTTTCCGGCCTTCCTGGACGGGTTTCATCTCAGGCCTCCACTGGGTCTGTCCATAGGGACCCTATCCTGTGCTCCAGCCAGCTCATAGTTATCTGGAACTTAGGTGACCCTTTCTTTCTGAACCCTTTAAAGAAATGGTTCCACTCTTCCCCTTCCTCATTTCTTTGTCTTTTCATTGTCTGTCTGTGTTTTCCTCGTTCATTGCCCCAATGCTATCGTGTTCCTCCCCACCCCCACCCCCGCCCCTGCTGGGGGATGCTGAGCCACACCCTGCAGTACTCAGGGGACTGTATGCGGTGCTAAGGTTTGAACCAGGGCGGCTTCATGCCATGCAAAGCACCTCACCTCCTGTGCTCTCTCTCTGGCCCCCTTTGTTCTATTTTTTATCACCGTGTGCACCTTCCTCCCACTCCATGCTCAGCACTACCGAGCTGAACGGGAAAGTCACTTGTTGCTTATTCACAACCATCTTCCCAGCACCTGGCGCAGGGTCTTTGACCCTGTTTTCCTGTATTTGAGTTTAGAGATTTTATTGAAAGAAGAGAGACTTTAATACACTCAAGACGGAATGAGACTTCTCCAGAAAGAGGAGACACCCCTATGAAGTAAAAGAAAGTAGTGGCACAGCCACCTTTGGAATGCAGACGCTTCCAGACTGGGATGCCTTTTTCGCTCTTAAATGGACTCTTTTGGTTGCATCATACCTGACTATAGTTTTAGTATACAGCAACTTAAAATATGTTCACTTTATGAGTGAGAACTAAATTCTCAGCAGTATACCCTTTTGTGGTCTGCAGATAGATACTGCTTTATTTGTGTTTCACAAGAGGAAGAATAATGGGAAAGTTGCAATTCACAGACTCAAGTAAATGTATCCTTATAACCTGTTCAATCTGTCAAAGAAGAAAGTTGTTCTTTTTCTTTAAAAAAAAAATCTAGGGGCTGGAGCAATAGCACAGCGGGTAGGGCGTTTGCCTTGCTCGTGGCCGACCCGGGTTCGATTCCCAGCATCCCATATGGTCCCCTGAGCACCGCCAGGAGTCATTCCTGAGTGCAGAGCCAGGAGTAACTCCTGTGCATCGCTGGGTGTGACCCAAAAAAGCAAAAAAAAAAAAAAAAAAAAAAAAGAATAAAAAAATAATTAAAAAAAAATCTATCTGGTGGTTTTCAACCAGTACCTGTCTATAGACATTTCCTGCTGGTCCTCAAAAAAGCTAGTGCTGCTTAACTGTTTGTTTCCAACAGCCAGTTTGAAGTACCATACTCTCCACAGGCGTCATAAGGCTGAAAAGCTCTGCTTTTTTCTGTTCTAAAAAACACTGATGTCAAGAAACCCTATTTAAATGAAGTCAGGAGACTAGAAGAGTTTCCATGCCTGTGAGATCAGCAAAGTACGAGACCTGTTTGTGCTCTCTTCTCCAACGGGAACTCATGGTGCCTCCCCACATGGGCCCGCAAAAGGAAGAAGAGGTTCTTCTCTGTTCAGCCTCCTGCAGTGGCTCTATAAAGGGGTGGTGACTTTTGACTGGGGAGTGCAGCTGTATTTCACCTTTCCAAACTGCCCTATTTTTGTTTCTGAGCAACCCTCCCCCCCCCCTTTTTTTTAATGGAGCTGAGGGGTGTCAGTACTTAGGACTTAGTCCTAACTCCGTGCTCATAGATCACCAGCACCGAACCTGGTTCGACTGTGTACAAGAGAATTGACATACCTGCTGTACTATTGCTCTGGCTTCTCCGAGTAAACCTATTTTATTGGTGAAATAACTGATTCCTTTTGATTTGCAAAGCAATCCTTTATTTTTTAATTTTTTTTTTTAAAGGAGCTGGGAGGAGAGCTCAAGTAGTAGTTTGTTCGAGGTCCTTTGTTTGGTTGCTGGCACCACATGCCCCTAAGTACCTCAAGGTGTTGTCCTATGATCTTTAAGGATGTGGGCCTGATCCCAGGACCTCAGGTACCATTTGTGTGAGATGTTCACCTGCTCCAGCACTGCACTCCTGCCTGTACTCCCTGAGCTCTGTGGGTGTGGCCCTTAACATTTAGAAAAACTAGAACCTAAAGGTGAAAGGAAAAAAGTAATTTTAATTTTGTCACCCAAAGACAGTCACTATTGACATAGTGTTGCAAGTCCTTTAGATTCCTGTCTGTGAGCTTCAACAGAGAAATGGAAATTAGATCACTGTGTGTAACAGGGGAGGAAAATTTGCTAGTCCCAATTATATCTTTGTCATTGGAGGGTTCCATGGTGTGGTGGGTAGTACTTTGAAACTGAAATCCAACTATATCTTTGTCACAAGGATTATTTTTAGCTAGTTATTTTAAGGAAAAGCAAACTTGGGAAAAGCTCTTGAAAGCACCCGCTGTGGCAGAAGCACTCCTAAGGCCTATTCACTGTGTCGTTCCCATGCCTTCCCATTCCATGCTACATCCTTGTTCCCTCCAGCTGTGGGTGGTGTTGAAGGAGGTGTCTCAGGCCCCTCAGGGAGTTCCGCTATTTTCTGGGTCTCTTCCAGTATGTAGGAATTGCTATTAATTTGCTATTAGCTCGCTTCTTAGCTTGCTTCTTTTTTTTGCTGTTAGTTTGCTGTCAGCTTGCTTCTTTTTTTTCACTTGCTCATCTGCCTTTCATTACACGAGTATCTCAGCCAGACCCTCGAAGAGCAGAGGAGAGATTGTCTTCCCATATAGTAGCATTCCTTCCTTCTTAGGAGATCTTCGTCTCCCTCAGTCTCTTTGACTACAAAGTATTTTGTCGAATGTTTCCCTTTGTATTTTACCAAAACCTGTCCTCGCTAGCTCTTCCGGCTCAGTATTATTGGATTGTCTTAGTTTTAGTTACTGAGTAACTTATTTTTATAATACGCCTTAAAGTGATGTTGTTAGTAACATGACACTTTCTCAGCTACTTAAGCAGCCAGAAAAGGGAGAGGAAGTCCCCCTTGAGAAAGCCCGAGAAAGAGGTGAGGAGATGGATGCTGGCGATGGGAAGCAGGAGCACTGCCCTGGCTGTGCCTCTGTGCGGCCCCGGCCCCACGAGGGATCACTTGAGGAGCTCCAGGAAAGTGAGCGTGCGCTTTTTCTTCTTCTTTGACCTGGTGGTGAAGCATCACAAGATTATCACGGAGTAATAATCAAGCGAGCCTTGCTAACACTAGTGCTTTTGTGCCGTAGTATTTTTGAAATTCATACCCCAGTGAGCTCATCCATCTTTGTTTCTCTTATGTTCGTGCTGTAAACTTAGTAAATGCTTCGTCTTGAGCCTCCAGACAATGAAGATCCCGCGTGGTACTTTCCTGAACAATCACTTCTGCCTTTTTTTGCTTTGGGGTCACACCTGGCAGTGCTTTTGGACTACACCTAGTCTCGATAATTCCGCCGCCCCTCCTTACCGTGCCCCCCCCCCACGCAGTGTTCAGGGGTCAACCCGGGCCTCCCCCTTGCGGAGCATGTGCCCCCACACTTTGAACTCTCTCCTTAGCCAACCGTTGCCATTTTTGCTCTTCCTTCAGATTGCTGGTTTTTGCTCATTGGGTCTTCAGGATCCTCTCCTTTTCCTTTTGATTTTCTTCTGTATTTTGAGATATCTTATCTATTTGATCTTGCAGATATGCTTTTATCTATCTACAGCACTTAAGGTTTGTGAATCCAGTATCTTTGTGAGAAAGAGAATTCTGAGTGCTGTAATGTTTTGGTTGAAGTTGCCATTTTTCTGGTATTGTCTGGAAACTATGGTGGAGGAACCTGAGTGAGACCAACAGAATGCTTACCAGGAAAGCCTTCCCTCCTGACCCAGGCTCAGGTCTCCTCTCTCCTCCAACTGGCAGCATCTGCAGACCCACAGAGCTTCCGCTCTGTTCACAAATGTGATTGGAAGTGGGTTTGAGTTTGGCAGGGATATGGCAGGGCCTTGGCAAGGCTGTCGTTTATCTAGAATTACAGCAATCTCGACTTCTGCCTTTCTTACATACATACAGGATTGTAATAGTTTGTTTTTTGCCCTGTGTTTTTTGGGTTCTGGTTTACTGGTTTATAAATAAACTTTATATTTGACACTCAGATCTTCTAGCATTATGGTTTATTCATTAGTGGTACTACACTTGATTTTTCACTTTTTTGGCACAAGTTCTTACTTGACTTACACATTGTTTTGTCCACACCAGTCCTAATGGTTTTGAATACGAACCAGTTTTGCCTTTGGTTCATGGAGGGAAGGATTTTTAGAATCAAATTAGGTGCCAGAGAAGATACTATGGCAGCCAACCTGGGTTTGATCCCCAGCACCCCATATGGTCCCTCTGGCTCTTGTGGTAGTGATCCCTGAGCCCAGAGTCAGGAGTATGCCCTAAACAATGCGGTGTGTGGCCCCTAAACAAATCCAACCATCCAAGCTACTTCTCTTCCTCAGCAGTTTGCTAATACACCCCACGGAGCCTGGTGAGCAACGGCTGCAGACAGTGAGCAGCCTTCTTGGTAGTATACGCAGCCTGTGGCTTGTTTGGGCTGTAATAAGGGACCTTGGGGGCAGTCCTTTACCATGGACGATCCCATCTGCTCTCATGCTGGCTCCGGTCCCAGGCTCCAAGTAACTATGCAGGGGGGGCCTTTGGAAAGCCCCAGGGAACAGTGGCCAGTGTCCACACTGGCAGATCATCATGTCCATCTGCACCAAACTATAGAACAAGGAGAATGTGATTGAGGTTCAGCACTGGACCAAGTTCAAGTTCCCTGACTGCCAGAAGATTCACATCTCCAAGAAGTGGGGCTTTGCCAAGTTTCATGCAGATGAGAAGTGGCCCATCCCAAATGGCTGTGGGTTCAAACACATCCAGAGTCATAGGCCCCTGGACAGATAGTGGGCCTCTGCAGGCCCCACATTCCTGAGATCCTTGGAGCTGCCCCCACTCCCAGTCACTGCTCCCCACCCCAGCCTTCATCTCTCCATCCCACTCCCACCATATTAAGTCCTGCTTCTTAACAACAACAAAAATTTTCTAATACATATTATTAAACTTCTGCTAATTTGAACTATGCTTAGAGCAGAAACTTAACCTGTCTCATTGGTTCTGTGATATAATGAATCTACATCTGGCTGCTAGGAAAGTCATTTGACTACTTTTGTCTCCAGGATTATTTTTTAGAGATCACTGAGAATTTTAAAAATATGTATATGGTACCTTGGCATAGTGCCTGTTTTTTGTGGTGCTTTAGTGAAGTGGTATTTTGCTGTCACCTTTGTGAACTCATGTTTTCGTGACTTTATGGGATGCCTACATTATGTCTGCCTGTGTAAGGTCAGCACTACCAGACAAGCAGACTTACATCATCGCTGCTTTTGTGGAATGTTAGTCACAAGGGAAGACAGGTGATCAGGAAAGCGTTTACACGGGGCACTGATGGTTTATATTGAATCCCAGGTCACAAAATGACAGTGGTAAAGAGCAGAGTGATATCAAGAGAAGCTTCTAGAGAAAGAACTGCAAGCTCCAGATACCACTTGGATGACAGTAAAAAACCTGGAGCTTACTATGAGTTTGACAAGGTTGTTAGAAAAAAATGATGAAGAGCCAAAATAGGGGAAAGGACTTGCTCCTGACAGAGGGAAGAAGGGGCGTCAAGAGGGTGGTGCTGCTCTGGAGGCTTTGGAACGACCAAGAGAGAGCAGAAGAGTGCTGATGGCCGGGCATCCGAACAGGAGCGCATGGGAAGCAAGGTTCTTTGCTTCTGACCGGTCTGTATTTTCCATATAGAAACTCTTTTATTAAACCAGCATAGAAACACTTTGCTGTTTGTTCAAGTTCAGGATTGCACACCTGACAGAGTCTCGCCCTACTGATACGTAGGGAGCAGAAAGCCCTAAGGGTGGGTTTCTATAGCATTCACTCTTACCCATCAATGGCACCAAGTCCTGCATGTCAAATCCTAAGTGGAAGAGCCATCCTTCCTTAGGAAATCAGGAGTGTTTTATTCATACCACTTGCTGTGAGTAGATAATGACAGGATTCTAAAATTTACCACTAGATAAGAAAACATGACATTTCTTGGAGCTTTCTATGTATTATTCATAACAGTCTGATTATTGGTGAATAATCAGATGGCTCAAAAATACCATTAGTTATATCTATAAAGTTAACCCAGCGTTGGGATTGTCTTAGACCAAGCAACAGCTTTTTCATTTGCAATATTGAGAATGGAACCCTTACGTATAAGGCCTGTATGTAAGGGTTCTGCCACCGTGCCGTATCCCGGGCCCAGGCATGTAGCTTTTCTCTCAGAAGTCAGCGTTACTCAGTTCGAAAGCATCACAGGTGGTGGCTTGGTCCTGGGCTACCAGACCCTATTCCCTATCCTCCCCTGGCCCTCACATCCTTTTTGTTGTCTGTCTCCTACTTTCTCACTTCAGAGCTGCTGTAATAATAGGAGCATTTGGGGCTGGAGAGATAGCACAGCGGGTAGGGCGTTTGCCTTGCACACGGCCGACCCGGGGTTCGATTCCCAACATCCCATATGGTCCCCTGAGCACCGCCAGGAGTAACTCCTGTGTGCAGAGCCAGGAGTAACCCCTGTGCATCTCCAGGTGTGACCCAAAGAGAAAAAAAAATAATAGGAGCATTCACTGTGTAACCTTTTTTTCCTTTTGATTTTAGGGGCCACACTCAGTGGTGGTTCGGGTAGTACTCCTGGAGTCACTCCTAATGGTACTTCGGTGACCATGTGAATCAGGGCTCCTGCCTGCAAAACCTTGAACTCGATCATCTTCCTGGCCCACTACAGCCTTTTGAGATGAACTTTTTTGTTATTGTTGATTTTGGGGCCCACACCTGGTTTTACACAGGAATTAACTCCTGACACTGGTGCTCAAGCCCTGGCAGGTTAGGTTGTATTTTCAGCATCAGCTTTTCACGCATCTGTGCATAGACGTTGTTAACTGGTGAAAAGCAGAGCCAGTCATGCTGTCTATAGTCAGAGGGTGGGATTCAAAGCCTGTGGAGCCCTCTCCTGCTCTTCTCATTGGTGAGGCTTACGGTAAGGGGTAGGACCCTCCTGGGCCTTCTTGTAGCTAGATCTGGATGAAGGTGGTCTTCAGAGACAAACTGATTGGGTTGTGTCCTTGGCTTTTAGAGCCTATGGGAAGACAGCAAGGCAAGGAATGAGGCAGCCTAGAAGACCAGGTTCTTTCCTAGAGGACTTTGTCCCCCTGTCCTTACTGGTTTCTGGCTTCACTGTCATCTCTGAAATAGACACTCTTTACATTTCATGTGCTTTAGTCATTGTTTCTGTTTCTGCACTTCTAGGGGCTTAATAGACTCTGGGTGTGGATGCTCTCTGAGGAGGACATTTCAGGAATTGGCTACACAGAATTGGTTATTGTGAATTATAGACACTGTTTAGTTCATGACTGTCCGAAGGGCCATGCCTGCCTTCTGTGACCTTACTATGCATTGTGACTTTGAGGAACTGAGATAATAACTTTTGAATTTTCATCCATCCATAATATTGTAGGTTTGCATGTTGACGTTTTTCAAGAAAGTATTTCTGTGAAGTTACTTTAAATACTAACCGAATTTCTTTTCATTGTTTTTTTGCTTTGCTTCGGTCTTGCATCAAAATGTGTGAAAACTGGTTTACTTTAGTTAATGATAATGCCCTAGAAATAGAGATACGGTGCTGGCTTTTGGAAGAATAACCCACCCTTTTGTCCTAGCAGGACTGGCCAGCTTTGCAGCTCTAGCAGCCAGGAGCTTGCATCCAAGCCCGAGAGTATGGTGGCAGAGCCTCTGAGGAGGACCGTGATGGGAGGAGGGGTGAGCTCAAAAGGCCCAGGGAATGGATTCATGCGCCATGTTTGTGACTGAGTGAACCTCTGCCCAGCACCCCCTGGTCAGAAAGGGCACGCTGAAAATAGATACCAGCTGAAGAGAAGCTGCGGGAAGAAGAAACCAGAAATATAAACATGATATGGAAACATCACATCCTTCCTTGGAAAGAAGCAATCTTTAAAGATGTATAATTTTCATATATTTTACCAGTTCTAGTGTGAATTAGTATGCATCCGTTAGCCCAAATAGAAAATAATCTCTGAAAAGTAAGCAAGGATGGCCAAAATGGAGAAGATAGTATCGCATTAGTGTGATTTCCCATATGTGAAGAAGTAACTTCTCGGTGAGTTTTTTCCTATCTGTTCACCCTCTGTGTAGGATCTGTAGTAGTTCCTGCATCCTTTTTCATGGTGAGTGAGGCCTATTGCTTAGAAGCTAGCACCTTCGTGACAGCATCTAGCACCTTTGTCATAAGCATCCTCCAAAATTTTGTGTTGTCCCTCTGATGATAGGGACTTTGTCACCAAAGAAAACTCAACAGTAGCTGTAATTACCTTCTTAGTGGTATTTTTAACCAGTAATGCCAAAAAGCACAGGTTAGAGGACATGGACCACATGGGTACAGGAATCTTGTTTTTATATTTCTTGCAGTCTCAGGCAGTTTTGTTTTTAAATGGCTTAAAAGCTCTTTGAAGTTATGCGTTCTATATTTCTTTGTCTTAGTGAAAATTTTGTTAATGTTCTTTTGGCACTTGCATTGAACCACTTATTAAATAAAAAATTTTGTTGCTATGGATTTAAAGTCCAGTTGTAGTTTTTTCCTACATGCTTTTTTTAAAAAAATACTATATTTTAAATTATAGCTGTAATTGAGTATTCTTTATCTAATATGTCTATTCCTTGTCATATGTGAAACCTCAGTTTTCACAAGAACAATGGAAGGATCTGTATGTATCCTTTCATAATGTACATGAATATCAAATCATTGTGTTGAACACTTCAAATATATTACAAATATATTCTGTCAACTTTACCTCACTTAAGCAGAAAAAAAAATGACCCAATCCAAAAAATTATAGCTAATCCACTCCCTTCCAGCAAATGAGTCCCAATGCATTTGAAACCACTGGTATAGAACAATAACCCTTTCTCATTGTTTTTCATCGTTGTTGTTTGTTTCGGTTTTGGTTTTGATTGTGTCACACCAAGCATGCTAAGGGATCACTCCTGGAAGTTCTTGGGTGAACATAGGGAGTGCTGGGGATCAAATCTGGGTTGGCTACTTGCAAGGCAAGCCCCCTACCTGCTGTACTATCATTCTGCCTCTGTACTCACTGTTAAGACAGGCAGGGCAGGGGGCTATGGTGCCGCCAGCAGGTCAGTCTGTACCTGTGAGGCGAGTGCATCAGCAGCCTGATGGTGCCTTCAGAATTCCAGATACCCCAGAATTGCTGTTGTGCCTTTGGCCAGACCCCAAAAATTTGGGGCAAAGTTTACCAAGAAAGTAAATGGCCAAAAGTTGGGTATGTGGGAAACACACCTACAAACCACCTCTGGCTCAGCTATATAATTGGAGGCATGACCTCTCTGGTTCCTGATTGAACTGCTTAACGGCCATGATCCCAGAGACTCAGAAATGAATCTCGGAACCCAACGGCTTTTGGCAGAAATGCGTCCAGTCCCTATAGTAGGTTACCAGCGCTGGGCCACCCAAGGGGGACTAGGTTTTCGTGCCTTGGCCTGTTCCCCCTGGCAGTCCGGTGGCCACCATCCTCCAGAGGCCACTGGACAGTCAGGTTTGGGCCCGCAGCAACGAGACACACGGGGCCTCACGGGATGGGGGTGGAGCTGGCCCTTTCCTCCCCACCCCAACAAGACCCCAAGTTGCTGCCCACGAATGGCCTCTCCGGCTCCTGATCAAGCTGCTTAAGGGCCATGATCCCAGAGAATCGGAACCCAGTGGCTTTTGACAGAAATGCATCCGGACCCTGCACTAGGTTACAGTCGCTGGATCATTCCAGGGGGGAAAGGGTGCTGTCCCTCCACCTGCTCCCCCTAGGCGGCTCGGTGGCTGCCATCCTCCAGAGGCCATTGGACAGTCAGGATTGGGCCCTCAATGATGAGACACACAAGGCTTCATGGGATGGGGGTGGAGCCGGCCCTTTCCTCCCCATCCCAGCGATACCCCGAATTGCCGCCTGTGAACGGCCTTTCTGGCTCCTGATCAAGCTGCTTAATGGCCATCATCTGAGAGACTAAGGAACAAATCTCGGAACCCAGCAGGTTTTGGCAGAAATTCCTCCAGATTTAATTATTAAAATTTCAGAATTTCAAAATCACGCGGCCACTACTGCAGCCACACAACATCATGTGTTATTCATAACCAGCAACAGAAAACAACTTGTCTACTGTTGCCTGAAAAGATCTGAGTGTTGGGGTAAAATCCCAAATAATAATGGTGGGTCTGGTGTCAAAATATCGAATGTAATCAAAGTAGAGAGAGAGTAATGTGGAAATCATCTGCCCCACATGTGGGGTAGGGTGTGAGATGGGGGTATACTGGGGTTTTTGGTGGTGGAAAATGGCCACTGGTGAAGGTACGGGTGTTTCATTGTATGACCGAGATTTAAACCTGAAAGCTTTGTAACTGCTTTCACAGTGATTTAATAAATAAAATTATAAAAAATTTAAAAATAAGGTTGAGTTCATGTCCAATTCAATCAGTTGATCAGTGGCTGAGTGAATAGCAGTACGCCTACATAAAAAAAAAGAGAAAGAGAAGAAAGACAAGAAAGAAAAAGGCAGGGCAGGACACACTGAAATTCCTTTTTTACTGGAACTAAAAAAAGCTATACATACCCATGAAGTTTTGCATTGTTAGTCCTAGGGTAGGAATGAGGATCTCAAGGAGACTAAGGGACTATGTAGGGTTAATCTCCTATTGTTTCACTTTTGAGCAGTTTCTCAGCAAAATCTTTGACCATTTTCTATCATTCCCCATTTTAGATTCAAAGCATTTAATCTTATTTATTCCATGTTATATTAATGGCAAAAAAGAAAATGAGCGAAAAATATTTTTTTAGAACATTAAATTGAGAAATTTTTGTTAATGAACCAAAGTAGTTGTTATTGAATGAAACTTAGTGAGAAGAGAGAAACAGGAAATTTGATCTAGACACACAGGCTTCTCTGCAGTGGGAATAAGCAAAGAAACAGAGACAAGCAAAGCAGGTATGTGTTCAAGGGAGAAGGTGGACTTTAAGAGCAAGCCTGAGAGGGTTTTTCGTTTTTAAATAATTACTCGTGAGATCAGAGAGTTAGTGTAACAGGTAGGGTGCTTGCCTTGCACATGGCTGAGCATGCCAGGAGTAGGCCTTAAGCACAAAACAAAGGTGGCCCAAACTGCCTCCCCCCTCCCCCCCCAAAATTACCCAACTTAAATTCATCAAATAATTGCTTCAATTATTCCCAGCAATAGGCAATTCTAATGGAAATCATGATTATATGAAGATTCTATTTAAAACATTTTCACTTCAGTTTAGGAAAATGCTGCCTGTCTTCTCTGTGTCAGCTTCCTTTGGACTGTATTTTGATGGAAAACTAGCAGCTTTTTGTAAATGTTGTCCCAATCTTTTTGCATAAGAAGCATTATCACCTTGTAAACGTTCTGATTGCTCCCAGAAGTCTTCATTGTTACCCATCTAAAAGAAAAGTAGTTATTAAGTAACCTTGATTTGATTTTGATTTGGTTTTTGGGCCACACTGAGGGCTTATTCCTGACAGGCTCTTGGGGACCATATGGGGTGCCAGGGATTGAACCCAGGTCAGCTGCATGCAAGGCAAGCACTCTGCCTGCTGTATTATCGCTCTGACCCACGTAACCTTGTATTATGAAAAGGAAAAAAAGAAGTTCTGGTTAGGTACAAGCAGAAGTTAACTTCATTTTTCAATGTCCACTGAATTTTTCAGCAATTTTTTTTTTGTTCAGTGCTTATGGCAAAAATCCCATGGCAGTGTGAGAACAGTGTGCTTACACGGGCTACCCCTGTCACTTGTAGGGCTATTTCTGGCAGTGCTAGGCCCGTATTCTTTTCAACTGGAGAAAAAATTGATTTGACAGAAGGTTTTTCACTCATTTTGGGATCTAAGGGCCAATACAGGAAATACTGTTTGGATGCCAGATGACTGGCCTTTCTGGATGCTGGAAACTTGATAAAATCACAATTTGCCAGAGGCTACATTCTGCTCCACTAAAATCCACCTGTTGACTGTTGCTGTATGTGGAATGAAGGTGTAAAGGGAAGAACGGTCACGGAATGGGCCGTGATCTGACAGGACAGGGCCTCTGCTTTCTTCGTCACAGGACACAGCGTGAGCCAGGATCCAATTCGGCCAGCACTTTGGTTCACGAGAAAACAGATGTCTGTGAAGCAAGAGTTTTGTTCCTTTTTTTTTTGCGTTCTGGGTCATCCCGGCCCTGCCCAGGTGTCACTCCTGGCTCAGGACTCGGAAATCTCTCCCGGTGGTGCTGGGGGAACGCTCGGGGACGCCGAGGCTCAAGCCCGGGTCGGCCAGCGGCGAGGCGAACGCCTGCCCGCGGTGCTGTCCGCGTCCCTGAGGGCCTGGAGTCCGGCTGGCGGCGGCCGTCCGAGCAGACCCGCCGGCGCGTCGCAGAAACCCGAGGGCCGGAACGGAAGGCGGCGGGAGGGAACCAGAGACGGTGGCGCTGGCGCCCGTCCCCTCTCAGGCCAGCTCGGCCGGCCTCCAGACGCGAGGCGCTCGCTCCGGGGGGCGCGGCCCCGCAGCCCCTCCGCCTGTGCACGTGGCCACCGAAGCCGCCCACGTGTGCCTGTGGCCACGCACTGGGCGTCCGCGACCTGGGGCAGGGTGAGCACGGCGCTGTCCGCGGGACGGCCTGGCCAGCGGGCCGCAGTGGCGCGCCGGCGGGGAGGGCGGTCGCCCGCCCGGCCTCCTCTGGCCGCGGGGGAGCCGGCCAGGAACACGCCCGGGGCCGCTCCTGAGGGCGAGGGCGACTCGGCCCTTCCCGCTCGCCCCCTGGCCGGAGGCCGGACCGGGATCCGGGCAGAGAAGCGCCCGCGGAGGCGGCGAGAGCGCGCGCGCCGCAAGCCCGGCCCGGCCCGGCCCGGCCGGCCGGCGGCCCTCGGCGCCCCGCCTCCCGCCGCCTCCCGGGCGGGCGGGACTTCCGGGGTGGGCGGGGCCCCGGCGCGCGGCGCCTCGGGAGCCGCCCGGGGATTGGCCCGCGCGGGAGGGCGCGCGCCCGCCAGCTCGCCTCCGTCGGCGGCGCGGCCGCGCGCACGCTCGCGCGCCCGCGCCCGCCCGCCCGCGCCTGCGCCTGCGCCTGCGCCTGCGCCTGGCCGCCATTGGGGAGCGGCGCGCCGAGGCCTGCGGAGCGCGGGGGCCGGAGCTGGGTCCGCGGGCGCAGCTCCCTGGACGCCGCGGGGCCGCGGGGCTGCGGGTGAGAGGGGCGGCCGCGCCGCCGGGGGTGCGGGGCGGCGTCCGTCCGCGCGCGGGGGCGGCGGGGGGCGGCGCGCCGGGCCGGGCCGGGCCTGCTGAGGCGGGAGGCGGCGCGCCGGGCCGGGCCCGCGGGGCGGGGCGGGGCGGGGCGGGGCGGACGGGGACGAGGGACGGGGGCGGGGGCGGGGCCGCGGCCGCGCCTGGGCAGACCCACCCCCCCCCCCCCCGGGGCAGGGCGTCCTCGGCCTCGCGGGGTAGAAGCGTGTCTGCGTGGACGGACGGACGGAGCCCCCCGGCACGAGCGGGGCGCCCCGAGTTCGCCACCGGCGGGCGGCTCGGGAGCCTGGTCCAGGGCGCGTGTCGTGCGGGGGAAACGCCCCTCACACGCCGCGTCGCCCCCCGGAGGCGAGCCGGACCCGACGGCGGGGGCGGGGGAGGTCCCCGGGGCAGCGGCGGATCAGGGCGGTCGCGGAGCACGGTGAGTGCCCTGGACACTGGGGGGGTCCGCGGCTGGGAGTGCCTGTGGGCCCCACCCGCAGGACTCAGGGACTCTCCTCGCCGCCGGGTCGGACCGGGTTCGGGGAGGGCGGCCGCACGCAACGCTGTCGGTACGAGCGGCGGCGTGGAAGGCCACGTCCCGTGTTGCCCTGAGCACTGGCCGGAGGAAAGCGAGTTGCGCGAGGTATCAAGGGGGGCACTTGTCCGGAGCACAGGGATTTGTTGGAGCAGAGGCCCTCGTGTTTTGCGGTGGTGGGTTTGCCACACCGCGTTCGTCGCTAAGGTAGTGGCAGTTAACGCGGACGATTGGCTTTGGTTAATGACACCCCAGTATTTCGTGGTTGTAGCAGGTGCACCTCACAGTGCGAAGTGTTGATTGTAGGAGAAACTGGAGGGGAGGAAAGTATGATCGTGGACCCTCACTGCACATCGTTCAGGTTATTTCTTAGACGTAAAGCCGCTTTGAGAAGTGTTTACGAGTTTTTTAAAAAACCCACCTACTAATGGAAGGGATAAAAGTAATACGTGTGGGCTGGAGCGATGGCGCAGTGGGGAGGGCGTTTGCCTTGCATGCAGCCGACCCCAGGTCAATCCCCAGTATCCCACATGGTCTCCCAAACACCGCCAGGAGTGATTCCTGAGTGCATCGCTGGGTGTGGCCCAAAAAAGCCAAAAGAAAAAAAAAGTGATGTGTGCATGTGTACTAGTGGAACCCAGTGATGATGTTTCACTTTTAAAAGCTATGTGCTGGGTCTCTTAGAGATAATACAGTGGTCGGTAAGACACATGTTTAACATGCAGCTGACTGGTGTTCCACCCCCAGCAACCCATATGGTCCCCTGAAGCCCACCAGGAGTGATTCCTGAGTGAAGAGCCAGTAGTAATTCCTGAGGACAGCCAGGTGTGGCTCAATTCCCCCACCCTCACACCCCCCTTCCTTGCCAGAAAATAAGGGCTATTTGCCAGTAGGCCTGGGAACCCCTTGCAAAAAGCCTATTTGACATCATGCATGAGGCCTCAAGTTTTATTTCCAGTATCACATGGCTCCCAAGCACTGGTGGTGTAGTCACCACCACCACTGGGCCCCCAAAACATCACAGCTCAAGGGCTTAGCACTGAACCTTCAGGCCTGCATAGCTGGGTAAGAATTCAGGCAGTCCCCCACCCCCTGAGCACTTGGGATTCCCTCCTCCTCCCAGTGAAAAAGTTGTGAGCCAAAATAGGTGTAGGTAGGATGGGTACAGGTATGTTTCGTGACGTTTGCGCCACTCTGGATGGTGTTAAGGCTGAGCTAGCTCAGTGTTCAGTGGTTGATCCTGACAGTCCTCAGGGGATCAGTGCTAGGAACTAGACCTGTGACTCCAGCCCTTGAGATACCTCCCGGGTCTACAGTGGGTCTTTTGGGAGGTGGGGGACAAGCTGGGGGCCACACACAGTGAAGCTCAGGGACTACTTACTCCCGGCTTTGCACTCAGGAATTACTCCTGACGGTGCTTGGGGCGATCATATGACTGCTGGGAAGTGTACCTGAGCCGCTGCATGCAAGGCAAGGCACTCGACTCCTGTACCCGCTCTCCAGCCTTCCAAAATGTTCAGAAATCACCAGTGATGTTGGACTTGAGAGAATTTGGAAGGAATATTGGGTGTTAGTGTCATTTGACCATAAGAAGATGCAGTACTGCAAAACACTAAGCGGAGCGATGATGCTTTTTAGAGACACAGTGTAATCTTTAAAGATAAATAGTAGAGTAAGAGAAATATTATCTGGACATTTTAGAATTACTTTCATTAGATAGGCTTTGGGCTGGAGCGATAGCACAGTGGGTAAGGTGTTTGCCTTGCAATCGGCCAATATGGCCCACCCGAGTTCGATTCCTCCGCCCCTCTCGGAGAGCCCGGCAAGCTACCGAGAGGATCTCGCCCGCACGGCAGAGCCTGGCAAGCTCCCCCTGACGTATTCAATATGCCAGACACGGTAACAACAAAAAGTCTCACGATGGAGATGTTACTGGGCCCGCTCGAGCAAATCAATGAATAAGGGGAGGACTGTGACCGTGAGATAGGCTTTGGGCTTTGTACAGTCTTTGGTCAAGTCACTACTCTTCCACAGTATCAATTTTCTCATCTTGTTAGGTGAAGACATTGTTCTCGGGCTTCATGAGAGTCCTTCAGGTCCTGTACTGGAAGTTATCTTCCAGGTACTTAATAATGCTCGTGACCAACAAAGACCTCATTATAACCCACAGTTGAGCAGTTTTGGGAACTTTGTATCAGCTGAAATCAGTTTCCCTGCGAGCTTCCTCTTCAAGCTTCTAGGACAGCATACTTATTTTCCATAATTCTTGCTATTTTAAAGTCACATGTCTTGTTGGTTGCTCCCTGTGAAGCATTATCCTTCCTAGAATTGGATAAAATTTGTCCAGTAGGACCTTCTGCCCAGTGAGAAATATGGAATGGAGTTCTATGTAGTCCTGCATTCTGCAGTTATTACTTGTATTCTAAAAGATAAATTTCACCTTTGGGTTTTGGTCTATTAGAATACTGACTTCCCAGTTTTATTGAATTTCACTGTTTTAGATTGCTCAAGACGCTCTAGAAAGAGGGACAGACTAGGAAGGCGGGGGGAAATATATAAACACACACAAACACACACACACACACACACATACCCACACACTAGCGAGAAAATGGATGGACAGGAGAACTTTATTTCTGTTTCTTTCTTTTTTTTTTTTTTTTTTTTTTTGCTTTTTGGGTCACACCTGGCAATGCACAGAGGTCATTCCTGTCTCTGCGCTCAGGAATTACCCCTGGCAGTGCTCAGGGAACCATACGGGACGCTGGGAATCGAACCCTGGTCGGCCGTGTGCAAGGCAAACGCCCTACCCGCTGTGCTATCGCTCCAGTCCTATTCTGTTTCTTTATCAGATGTAAATGACTGCTTAATCTTGAGTAAGATATTTAATGCCTAAATTTATTTTCAACTCTAAAGTGAATTTTTTGGGGGGGTGGGGGTGGTGTTGGGGATTAAGCTCAGTGCTTCACATATGTAAGTTAAGTACTCTCCTTACTGCTCAACTACATGCCTGGCTCCAAATTGAAATTTTAAAGTCAGGTGATTTCTGAGGGTTTTGTGCCCAAAACTTGACTAACTCTGAAAATAGTAGTTCATTTCTTTTCTAGTTTTAAAAGGCTTAGAAATCTAAGATCATAGGACTTATTATAAGATTATTATAAGAGGATGTTCTGATTACACATTTTCCCCCCCAAATGCCTACTGTTAGAGATGTGCAAAATTTACTGGGGTAAATGAGAAGTTCCTGCTCTCTGAGAGACCATGGCCTGCTGTGGAATTGGACTACAGAGCTAGAGGGTCGCCACTACACTGTAAAGATTGTAAGGATTGGGGGTGGAGGGCGAGAATACCAAAGAAGTAGTCCATCTGGAAGGATGGATAAACTTGCCTGGGCAGATGGGGAATGTGAAGGAGAGGAAATGTTTCCTGAAAAGACTAGAAACTTAAAGAATCGGGGAATTACAGGGTGGACACTATGTTGGGAAGGCCAGATAATGGCAGTCTTGTTTGGAACCAGATCATGGTAAGTTTTATACACATGAACAGATTTTTTTTTTTTGAATATAAGTTTTGTCTCTGGGCCCACCTGGCAGTGCTCAGGGATCTCCTGGCATGGCTCAAGGGACCACACGGGATGCCTGGATGGAACCCAGGCTGGCTGCGTGAAAAGTGCCCTGCTTCCTGTACTGCTCTGGCACCTTGTTTAGATTTTGTATGGCTTGTTTTGTGCGGCCACACCTAGTAGTGCTCAGCACTCCTGGCTCTGTGTTTGAGACTCTGTCTGGTGGCAGAGACTAAACCAGGGTCAGCTGTGTGCCAGGCTGAGGCCTTACTCCCTGCACTGTCTTTGAACTCGCATGTTCAGATTTTGCTTTGCAAGTGTCAGGAATGCCTTGAGGTATTGTGAAGCAAATTGTTTTAAACTTTTGTATTTGTAAGCTGATGTTAGTGGATTGGAAGGAAGTGACATTCGTCAGGAAAATCCGGTATCAGAAGGCAGTGGGCAGGTGGGTAGATGTATTGCTGGAACTTTTCAGAAGTATATTGTGAGCCATGCATATAATTTGTTCGAGGGTCTTAAATCAGCAACTACACAGAACATTATGCCTTCTCTTTTAAACTAATGCATGAATGCCACATTCTTGCTCTTCCCAGATGTCTCAAGTTTTTCTGGCCTCTCAGACACTGATGATTTTGTCTCTTCATTGCCTATTTAAAAATCTGCTTTTCTGTGCTTGCGGTTAATGGATAAAATGTCAGCTGCTTCTGTAGTCATACTAGTGTTTTGAGTAATTGTAATCAAAGTTACATGGCTACTGTGAGAGCAGTCTGGTTATGTATATGGGCATTAATCCTATAGTGAACTATTGTACAAGGACTGATTGTATTTCTCCCCCGCCCCCGCTCTCTTTTGTTTTCCAGATCCAACTTCTCGTGTTGTCCTTCAGGACTGTAGACAGTTTTCTCTGGTATAGTTTAAAAGCCATGTAGGCTTGCCTTCCCTTTGCAGACTGCTTTCAGACTAGCACTGTAAGAGCTGGTAAGTTGGCCAGGGAAGAACATTGGTCTTTATTTCTTTTCAGTTTGTAAAAGTACTTTGCTTGGACTGGTGAGACAGCACAGGGGCTGAAGTTCGTGCCTTGCATGCTGGAGCCCTCGATTTGATCCCTGGCACATTGAAAGTAACCCCAGAGCATGACTGGGTACGACCCCAACATAGTATTTGTTTTACTGATTTGTGGGGGGAGCACACCCGGCCGTGCTCAGGGCTTACTCCTGGCTCTGTACTGAGGGATTACTTCCGACAGTACTCCAGGGACCATATAGCGGGGTGGGATCAAACCCCAGTTTGCTGCATGCAAGGCTTGTGCCCTGTGTACTGTTATCTCTAGCCCCTTGTATTCATTTTATAAAACATTCTACAAACATTATTCTGAGTACATTTTTGTATTTTGGGTCACACATGCAGCAGTGCTTGGTGACTACTCGCAACTTGATGCTAGGGATTACTCCTGTGGTTCTCAAGAACTTGTGTTTTGACTTAAACCCAGGGCTCTTGTACTCTGGCCCTCTGAACTATCTCCCAGCCCACTATTTCTAGTTTTTGAAATACTTAAAATATTTTAGAATATTTAGGCGACTGTTTTTTGAGACATTTTTGAAAAGTAGAAGGTTGGGTTTTTTTGTTTTTACATGTTTATTGGGTGGTCTTGTTTATTTGTTTTCTCAGTAGGAATCAGACCCACGGAGCAGGGCCTAGGCCCTCTTCCAGAGATGCTTCTCCTAATGGTTCCAGGGATCAAACTCAGGGCCTTAAGCATGCTAAACTTGTGTTCTATTACTTGAGCTACCTCCCTATTCCATATCTTTGATATAAGAAGCATTTTTAAAAGGTAAAGGTAAAGGTAAAGGTAAAGGCCCTCCCGTTGATCGTCGATTTGCTCGAGCGGGCCCAGTAACGTCTCCATTGGAGACTTTGTTGTTACTGTGTCTGGCATATCGAATACTCTCGGTAGCTTGCCGGGCTCTCCGAGAGGGGCGGAGGAATCGAACTCGGGTCGGCCATGTTGGCCGCTTGTAAGGCGAACGCCCTACCCGCTGTGCTATCGCTCCAGCCATTTTTATTTTTTTTTATTTTTATTTTTTAAAAATGCCTCGCATTTTTAAAAAACTTTCTAAATAGTGTGCACAATCATTTATGTAGAAATCGAAGAGAGTGTTTTAATTTTTTGAAATTTACAGTTTTAATGGCCTTCTTGTACACTGATTATAACATTATTCAAAGAGAGGACAAATAAAGTACATGCTGAGTATAAGTAAAGTAAGTAATAAGAAATCCAAAATGTTTTCTTCATATAGTATACTATATGAAGTCTTGAGAAGAAGAGGAAACACTAACACACCTGGCAATGCACAGGGGTTATTCCTGGCGGTGCTCAGGGGACTGTATGGAATGCTGGGAATCGAACTCGGGTCACCCTACCTGCTGTGCCATGAGGAAACAGTTTCCAAAAGGAAATAATTTGTAATTCATTTGTTAAACTCATTCTGTATGTCACAGTGTCTGTTTTAGCAATTGTTCTAGCCCCATATTGAGAATAATTTATCAGATGGAGCTGATGAATAGTGTCAAGAATAGAATCATACAAAATTTAGGAAGTGCGAAATGGAACATTACATAATCCTTGGGGGGGGGGAGTGGTTTAGGCAACTGAATTTTTTATTTGAAGTGAAAAGTAAATCTAATTCCTACCCTAGTCCCTATTTATTTATTTTTCTTTTTGGGTCACACCCAGTGATGCATAGGGGTTACTCCTGGCTCTGCACTCAGGAATTACCCCTGGCAGTACTCAGGGGACCACATGGGATGCTGGGAGTCGAACCCAGGTCAGCCGCATGCAAGGCGAACACCCTACCCGCTGTGCTATAGCCCCAGCCCCCCAGTCCCTATTTTAAATGGACAAATGATACAGGTGTTGGGTCTAAGAGATAGCTTAACAGCACATATTCTGTATGCGAGAGGCCTGGATTAAATCCCTGGCACTTCATGCGCCACCAGGATTTACCCCCAAGCAGAGAGCTGGAAGTATCCCTGGAGCATCACTGCACATTGCCAGAAACCGAATAAATCAAGATGTTAAAAAAATATTTTTAAGAAGAATAAAATTATGAAAAAGCATAGGGGAAAATGGAAGGAACAGCCTTGGAGTGGGGTTAAGAATAATTTAAACCAGAGTCATAGGAACATTTACTTTTATTAAGATATTATTGTAGGTGGCAGAAATAGAATTTTTTCCTTCCAACCCCCCCCCAAAAAAAAGTGAAATAATGAGATAACCAAATCTCACTTAAGAATTAGGAGGGAGTTGGAGCAATAGTACAGTGGGTAGTTTGCCTGCATGTGGCATGTGTTCAATCACTGGCATCTCATGTGTTTTCCTGAGCCCTACCAGGAGTGATCCCTGAACACAGAGCCAGGAGTCCCCTGAGTACCACCAGGTATGACCCAAACTCCCACTCCCCCCCCCAAAAAAAAACCCAAAAACAAAAAAACGGAAGAAGATGAATTAGTTGTAAATCTTAAAATTTGAGAATGATTTTCTGTCATTCAAGAATATCCTGTCTTTGGAGCCAGAGAGAGAGTACAGCAGCCAAGACTCTTGCCTTATACACTGGCCAACACAAGTTGGATACCCAGCACCCTGTATAGTGTGCCAGGAGTGATCCATGAGTGCAGAGCCAGAAGTAAGACCTGAGCACTGCTGACGGTAACCCCCCAAAAATGTATTCTCTCTGAGACTCTCTTGCTTATCAAATGCTTGTATCATCCAGGGTCTCTGCTTCGGTGTTTTTTACTTTGTGGAGGTTTCCTGGACCTTCTCCAGGTTGCCTTCTGTATTGTTACTTCTTAGCTATTTTTAAGCACCATATTGCATAATAAGTCTTTTAAACTCGGTGTCTAGAAACACGAAATTAATATGTATTGGATACAGAATTAATATATATTAGAATAGATAAAACATTAAAATTATATTGTCTTTATTTGGGGGCCACACCTGGTAATGCTCAGCAGTTACTCCTGGCTCTGCACTCAGGAATCACTCCTGGTGAACTTGGGGGGGGCGCGTATGGGATGCCGGAAATGGAACAGTCAGCTGTGTGGAAGGCAAACACCATACTTACTGTGCTGTCTCTCTGGCCCCAAACTACATTGTCTTTAAAAGGCCATCTTTGGTAGCAAAGTTAAATGCTTCCTCAACTGGATTTGGGTCTGTGTGGAGATAATTCTGAGGTAAGACTGAGAGTTTTACAAGCAAAGTTTCTTCTCTAATCTTGATCTGTCTATGAAAATAGTAATACTTGAGCCACATTGTTAGGGTTAAATGGGATGATATGTAGAAAAATTGCGGAGTTTCTGGGACTCTGTAAAGAATCTTTTTCTCTTCAAAATCTTTATAGAGACATTACCTATGAATGCACATAGTAGTCTGGACTTAAATTATGCAGTTAGGTTCCTGGAGAGATAGTACAATGGGTGAGATGCTAACCTTGCATACAGGAGACCTGTCCTTGACCCAGGGCACTACGTGTTTTCTCTAAGCCCTTCCAGGAGTGATCCCTAAGCTCAGAGCCCTTTGCAGCTTGTAAGTTGGGTGTGGTTCAGTCCCCCTCACCAAAATACATAAAACTAAGCAGTTACAGGTTGAACTAGAACAGCCTTTTATTCAAAACACAGTTCCCTGAAAAATGATTTGTTTCTACTTCATTATGGTATCATTGAGAAATTGTAAAGATTATTAATGTGTATCATAACAGAAAGAAAAATGGAAGTCTTGCAAGAACTTCGCAAACCATCTGCACGTTTGGAATGTGACCACTGCGGTTTCAGAGGCACAGATTATGAAAATGTTCAGATTCACATGGGCACCATACATCCGGAGTTTTGTGATGAAATGGATGCTGGTGGGTTAGGTAAAATGATATTTTACCAGAAAAGTGCAAAACTCTTTCACTGCCATAAATGCTTCTTCACCAGCAAGATGTACTCTAATGTGTATTATCACATCACCTCCAAACACGCAAGCCCAGAGAAATGGAATGAGAAACAAAAAAATCAGTTAAACAAAGAAGCAGAACCTCTGAAAAGTCCCCCTCCTTCTGAACACCAGAAAATGTCTTCTAATTCAGCAGAACTGCTAAATTCTATGCCAGCCTTTTCCACAGAAACACAGAGACTTGGCTCAGTTTTGTCTCCAGAATCACCAAAACCTAATTCTCTTACTTCCCTGGACCTTCAGAAACCTGGCTCTGTTGTTTCTCCTGAACCACAGATGCCTTCTCCTGAACTTTTAAAACCTGCCCCCATTTCTACTGAACTTTCAAAACCAGTCTCTGTTTCTGAGCCTCAGAAACCAGTCCCTGTTCCTTCTCCAGAAACACAGAAACTTGCCCCTATATCTCCTGATCCGGTCAAGGGTACTCTTACTAATCCCAAACCTCAGAAGTATTCACACTTCCCAGAAACATTGAGGCCTCCTTCAGCCTCATCTCCAGAATCACCAGTTTTAGCAACTTCCCCTGAACCTTGGGGGCCTTCCCCTTCTGCATCTCCAGAGTCTCGGAAGCCAGCCCGGGCTCTGTCTCCCGAGCCAAGGAAGCCCTCCCCATCAGAATCTCCTGAGCCTTGGAAGCCATTCTCTGCTGTCTCCCCAGAGCCTAGGAGACCAGCCCCAGCTGTGTCACCAGGTTCTTGGAAGCCAGGGCCACCTGGGTCCCCTAGGTCTTGGAAATCTAGTCCTTCAGCATCGTCGGGGCCCTGGAAGCCAGCCAAACCTGCACCGTCTGTGTCTCCTGGACCTTGGAAGCCAATTCCTTCTGTGTCACCTGGGCCTTGGAAACCAGCTCCTTCTGTGTCCCCTTCATCCTGGAAGTCGTCTTCAGTTTCATCTGGTTCCTGGAAAACTCCCCCCACATCTCCTGAGTCATGGAAGTCTGGCCCCCCAGAACTCCGAAAGACAACTTTGTCACCAGAGCACTGGAAGGCAATTCCCCCGGTGTCTCCTGAGCTTCGCAAACCAGGGCCACCACTGTCCCCAGAGATTCGTAGTCCAGGAGGATCACCCGAGCTCAGGAAACCCTCGGGATCTCCAGAACTGTGGAAGCTTTCTCCTGACCAGCGGAAAACTTCTCCTGCTTCCCTTGATTTTCCTGAGTCCCAGAAAAGCTCCCGTGGCGGTTCCCCCGATCTCTGGAAGTCTTCCTTTTTTGTTGAACCTCAGAAACCTGTCTTCGCTGATGCCCGGAAATCAGGTCCCTCTGGGCCTTCGGAGTCTCCTAAGGCTGCCTCAGACATATGGAAGCCAGTCCTCTCTATTGATAATGAGACTAGAAAACCTGGCCTGTTTTCTGAGCCTTCCAAAACAGCCCCTCCCGCCTCTCCTGAACCTCGGAAACGTGCTCTTTTTTCAGAGTCTCGGAAACATGCCCTTTTCCCTGAACTTCCCAAGTCAGCTATCTTCTCAGAGTCTCAGAAGGCAGTTGATCTTGGGGATGAACTGCAGATAGATGCCATAGATGATCAAAGGTGTGATATTTTGGTTCAGGAGGAAATACTAGCTACACCTAAGAAACTCTTAGAAGACACTTTATTTCATTCCTCAAAGAAGCTCAAGAAAGATAACCAAGAGAACTCAGATACTGAGCTTAGTGGTGAGTATATAAAAACAGATTTGGATATGATAGATATTAAGGGCCAAGAATCAAGTAGTGATCAAGAGCAGGTTGATGTGGAATCTCTTGATTTTAGTAAAGAGAACAAAATGGACATGACTAGTCCAGAGCATTCCAAAAATGTATTACAATTTACTGAAGAAAAAGAGGCATTTATCTCTGAAGAAGAGATTGCAAAATACATGAAACGCGGGAAAGGAAAGTATTATTGCAAAATTTGTTGCTGTCGTGCTATGAAAAAAGGTGCTGTTTTGCATCATTTGGTTAATAAGCATAATGTTCATAGCCCTTACAAATGCACAATTTGTGGAAAGGCTTTTCTCTTGGAATCTCTCTTCAAAAATCATGTAGCAGCCCATGGGCAAAGTTTGCTTAAATGTCCACGTTGTAATTTTGAATCGAATTTCCCAAGAGGCTTTAAGAAACATTTAACTCATTGTCAAAGCAGGCATAATGAAGAGGCAAATAAAAAATTAATGGAAGCTCTTGAACCACCACTGGAAGAGCAGCAAATTTGACTTTTAAAACTGGTGGTGCTCTACAAAGTTTGTTGAAACCATTCATTGAAGGTATTGTTAAATAGTCTCGTTGGATCAATAGATAGATATGTCTATGGTGTATTTTGCTTGTCTACGTAGTGTTGGTTTTTTTTTCCTGATTTTCCTTTATGTGGTCGTCTTAGTTTATGCTATATATTCCAGATGAAAATAAAACCTCTTTTAGAATACTTGGATGATATGAAGGAGTAGGCATTCCATTTAATGAGCAAGTTGTATTTTGTTTAAAACATCTGGTTCAAGTATCTTTTTGTGAAACAAATTTTAGACAATGGGAATTATTAGTTGTAAGAATTAGGCATGAAAACTTTGAGAAATGTATTTTTAGATCATAAAAGTTATTTTGAAGTTTCTATTTGATACATAAAGCTAAGTTTATTTATAAATCTTGAATTGTTTCTAGACATTAGCTTTTAGGGCATGGAAAATTGGAGTCTCAGGGATGCTGATTTTCTGCCAAAAGAGGAGAAATCAAATAAATTTTAAAAATAGCTTGCAGACTTCTGTGGAAAATAGGAAAAAGGTTAGTGTGATTTTGGTATTGTTCTTAGTTGTTTCCTTTGGAGTCTTCCATTCTGTATCTCCCCTCAAAGATCTGGCCTTTCACCTCCCTCTGAGCTCTCACCAATGATGGCCCTTATCGCCAAGTGTTCTAGAAGTTTGTTTCTTCTACTCTTGGTCCTAATTCACAATTCGTTGAGCTTCAGACCAGGGTGTCAAGAATAGGAACTGTGGCTGCAGAGACAGTGCAGCCTTGTGTGTTCCTGATCCGGGTTTGATCCCCAGCATCCCATATGGTCCTCTGAGCACCGCCAGGAATAATTCCTGAGTGTAGAGCTAGGAGTAATCCCTGAGTGTCACTGGGTATGACCTAAAAAACTTAAAAAAAAAAAGAAGAAGAAGGAACTGAAAGTCTTCCAGGTTCACAATAGTAAGTCTTAAAAGTAGATACTTCCGTTGAAGAATGTTAATTTTATGTTTTTTTTTTTCAGTTAATTGTAAATACCATGTGCCCGTTAATGGATTATTCTAAAATATTTTGTTAAATGTGTATCAACCAAATTAAAAAGACTTTCATGTCAGCAATATCTGTGTATGTTGTTTCTTTTGTGTACTTTCCATTGTACAGTATTTCAAATTCCATTGTTCTTTGCACTTGTTTTCAGCATATTTTTATATCTGGTACAACATTTTTCTAAGGTGGCTTTTCTGCCTCATAGGTAAGTTGGTGAACCCACTGGGCGTTTCTTATGGAAAATCAAATAGTGTACTATTGCTGTATTAATATTTTAATTTTTATTTAAATTTTTTTGTTGTTAGGGATCTCACCTGGAGGTGCTCGGAGGCCAAGCAACGTTGTAGAATGAACTCCAGGCCTTACATGTGACTAGCATATACTCTCGTTTGAGCTAGTTCTCTACCTGGGCATAGTAAAAGTTAAGTTTTCAGGTGTGGTTAGGCGTGATTGCCTTAAAAATGGTGAGGCATTTCGTGCCCTAGTGAGTCTGATATGTAGCTAGGAATTAAATAATTTTTTTAATTAACAAAGTTATTAATATTTTTAGGCATATAATATTTCAACACCCATCCCACCAGTGTCGACTCCCCTCCACCAGTTTTTCCATATTCCTTCCCCACCCACATCCCCACCTGTCAGCAAACATTACAAAGTTTCGGTGGTTGCAGCTTAGATCTCATATTTTCAGTTTTGTTGAGTCTGCGTTTCAGGTATATATGGCGGTACCACTCACCCATGTCACTAGTATGACTGAACGCCCGATATCTGTTCACCCATTACTTCTCATTCTCTTTCTTCCTTGATTTCTTTCCTTCCCTGTCCTTAAACACTGGGATCAAGGGTCATCTAGGCATGAGATGATAATTTTTAGTTACATTATTTCAGGTACTTCTGGACAAGAAGTACTTTTGTTCATTGCATCCAAATTAATACACAGTTCAGAAGACAATACATAGTACTGGGTAAAAGTGGATCATGCTGGCCAAGACTTTCTAAGCCTTGAAGCACGTTTTTGGTAAGCACAGTCCAACAGGAAAATCACTGAGTGAGTGATGCTGTTGTCAGTTTACTCCTGGGCATGATGTCAAGAGGGAAGAAAGGTAAGAGATCTTGGATTTGTAATTGTCTTTTCCCTTGACTCGTCATACTAACAAGAGTGGGAAAACAGGATCAGTAACACCTGGAAACCTTTCAGGAAACATTCAATAGAATTTGTTCCTTGGCATTTCATATTTTGGTGCCAACCTCTCAATTCCCAGACTTTTGGTCCAGTGAAGCCAGTTAAGTGTTTACTTGCCGTGTGATGAAGTATTTTTCCTAATGTCGTGGGGGTTATACACAAGTGGTTTTGACCTTAAGATGGGTCGAGATGGGGGAAAGGAGGTAGAGGGAGTTTCCCAGTGCACAGGCAGCCCAGTGGCTTGAGTTCCCTAAAGAGTTCCAAGCACCAGCAGTGCTTGGTGGAACCATGTGTCAGACCGAACCAGAGACTGTGTGTCCCTGTGCCATCTCCCTACATCTTCATTCTCTTTGGTTTTATCACCTTATTCTTTGTTTACTTACCATTTCCCACGTTTTTCTCCTTTAACCTCTGGTGGTCAGGACAAGGTGTGCCATGACTTTAGAACCCGTTAGATTTCTAAAATCTTAAACAATTGCCTTTCTGATAAAATATCCCCAGCCTTTTATTATATGTTCCAAAGACCTAGAGCAGTGCCAAGGTACAGAACAGGGGCCAGATACTCCTGAGGGAGTTGAGCACATGCCTCCATGAGGAAAGTGAGGTGGCAAGAATGGGGTGTGGTAACGTTTCATGAGGCCTAGAGAGCACTAGGGATCTTGGGACTCTGGAGGTTACATGGGGTGTGAATTCACAAAATGCGGGGCTGCTGCTGTGACGTGTGTATGTTCGGAGGAGGAAAAGGGGCAGTTCACAGATGACGCCTAAAACACTTTGGGTTAATATCCAGCGACGGGGTGCCTGAGAGGACTTGGTTTCACGGAGTGGGCCAAGAGTCTCTTGGCACCCCTGGGAGGATAGTGAATCTCGTGGTGTTCCCAGAGAGAGGACCAGGGTCTTTGAAATCCCACTTATACACACCATTGACGTTGGCATCATGGGGCATCACACTATCCATGGGTTGAGAGGTCCAACACCACACCTTTTCTCTCTTTGTCTCTTTGTGACAATTTATGCTGAATTTGTGAGTTTTCAGATTGCTTTTTTTTTTTTTAATTCTAAGACAAATTGGGAGAAATTTGATATATTTGAGAGCATATATTTTGGGATCTAAGGATATTTAGTGCCCTAGCTTCAGTAAGATGAGTAAGCCAAGTTACTTTTCAAATTTTACTTAATTACAATATAGCACACCACTGAAAACACCTGGAAAATTAACAACTCAAACTGTACCAGATAGAATATGTCTGACCTAAATAAAACATGACCTTACTGAAGTCTATTAACCTAGCAGTCTATTGTCCAAGGCATGAACTAGGCATGGACACAAACCAAAAGTCAAACTGATTTAAATAAGGAATTTTTTTTCTTTTTGGGTTACACCCTGCGATGCACAGGGGTTATTCCTGGCTCATGCACTAAGGAATAGCTCCTGGCAGTGCTTGGGGGACGATATGGGATGCTGGGAATTGAACCTAGGTCGGCTGTATGCAAGGCAAACACCCTACCCGCTGTGCTATCGATCCAGCCCCTAAGTAAGGAATCTTGACCCATTAAATTACTTTTTTTTTCTTAAGACCACACCTGACAATGCTCAGGGTGTTCAGAAGTGCCAGGGATTAAACCCCTGTCAGTCACATGCAAGGCAAACACCCTACCTGCTGTCCTATCACTCTGGCCTCCAAATTACTATTTTTAATGTGATGCTTCCACTGTAATGTGAATGTATTGTCAAGTTTCCATGAGATACACAAACTATTTTGACAGGATATTGCCAATTTAACTATGACACAATATGACTTAGAGCTTGGGAGCTGGGAGGCTGAGGGTGATGTATGTTGGCCAACCTCTCCGACTCACTGTCCCCGTGTTATGTTCTTCCCTGGAACCAGTGACTTCAGTCTGGGGCCTGTGTTCGACTCTCCACCCACCATATCACTTTCCTTCCTGGTATAGGAACCTTTTACAAGACAATCTTTTGTACTTAATTTTGGTTTAACCCAGGGGAGGGCAGGCCTCAGTTTCCATCATTGCCTTAACTGGGTGGATGCATTTCAGTGGATCTGAAACCTGTAGAGACACACAGTACTTGGGGTTGACTGATTCCTGGTACACTGTAGTATTCTAACATGTTCCTGGTCTTAGTGATAAAAATTTCTTGCTTGTTATTTTATCTTTCCTTTTTTTCTTCTTTTTTCTCCACTTTAATATAAACACTGTGGTTTACAAAGTTGTTCATAATCATTTGTTGCAGCTTTCAATACTCCAACAGCAAGCCCACCACCACTGTCACCTCCCCTCATTCAGTTTTCATTTTCCCAACCGTCCTTCAAACCTGCTCCTGTAGCAGTCCCGTAATTACTTATTTATTGCTTGTTACCATTAAACGGCTAACAGAATGATAAAAAGTTAATTCCGCGGAAAAAATAATTGTGAAAATTGTATCTCATGGGACGTTTAAGTCCTTGTCTGAGGTTTATGGGACCCCCTGGTAGTGCTCAGGGCTTTCTCCTGGCTCTACACTCAGAAATCATTGCTGGCAGGCTCGGGGGGTTGGAGGACCATATAGGGGGCCAGAGATCGAACCCTTACAGCTAAATGTGTGGCAAGTGGCCCATGGCTCTGGTCCAGATCCATGTTTCCTCATCTGTAAAATGGAAATGAAAACAGCTCCCTGCTCTGAGAACAAAGATGAATGAGCCCATAGGAACCAAGGAGAGCCATGCCTGGAGCAAGGTGGGTGCACACAGATGGGGTGAGCAGGGTGCAGTGCATTCTCTGATTAGCAGGAACCCCAGGAAAGGAGAGTAGCATGAGCTAAGAGTTGTAAGGGGAAACAGCTCCAGATCTGCCGCATCCCACGCGGCCAGCTTGAAACTTGGCTGGAGTGAGGGAATGAAAGCTGACCAGGTCTAGGGAGGGCTGCATGCAGTATACGGCATGCAGCAAGTTTACTATTATCCAAGTTGGTTTATATAGTCTTATTTTAGCAATGATCAGCAGGTTACATAAGTTTCATTAACAATCATGCTGTGCAAGCAACTTTATTTTTGCCAACATTACTTGTTTTTCGGTTCCTTCTTGTTTTTCGGTTCCTTATCTCAGCCCTGAGAAACAAGGAATGGAGATGTGGCCTCGGGCCTAGCCAAGGCGGATACGAGCCAATCCTCCCTTCAACCTCCTCTCAAGTCCAGCTGCCAGAGCACGGTGGCCCTTCGGCCACCTGTCAAGGTCTGCTGTCAGGAGACGGCTCGCCCTCACGCCACGTTTCTCCACACCCGTCCCTGTTTACAGAAACAGGCAGGGGGTGCCTAGGCCCGTCCCCAACACAGATCCAGTGCTCAACCACAGTGTGCCTTCATAGGGCCCCCAGGAGGAGAGAAGGTGGTAGAACCACCAGGCGGAGGGTTGGTAGAACACTCCGGTACCAGAGACCACCAACACGCCTTCTGCTGGCAGAAGCTCCTTAAGTATGCAAGTGTCCTGGAGGTCCTGAGTTGGTCTAGGCTGGACTGTGCCTCTGAGGAAAATGAGACACAAACCTGAACACTGCCCCAGGCTTTCCATCTAGTTAGTAGGAGATCTGGGCTTTGCACGGAGGCCTTTTGGTCCCAGACATTTACTGCCTTTCTCTGACTGCGCTGGAGTCACGTTCTTGGAAACTCAGGGCAGAATTTGACTTGGACGCCTGTTGCTCTGCTGGACTCAGCAGGGCCACTTGGTATCCCTGCCCCTCCAGCAGGTGACTGCTTCTCAATTGCTAGGTCAACCCAAGTCATACCACAGTTATCCATCGCACTTGGTGAGCTGGATTGTGAGACGCGGTGGATGTTGTTTTGGCCCCTGGTCCTCCCCTCCTGCCCAAGACAAGTTTCTCACCTGCTCTCCCTGGAATCTCATTCGTGGTTAGTTCTTTCGTCTCTCCTCCATGTACCCTCGCTGCCCACACAG